CCTGTATAGACAATTCTCTCTCGGGGGGTGAAGTACTCACAAGGAACTACTTGTGTGGATTTTAAGACAATTCCATTGAAAAATGTGGCTAACATCACCAAAATACCGAATATCGGGGGGTACAATTATATGGGGGATATACGATATCGTGGACCTATATATATAGACAAATCTTTTTGAGGGGGTAAAATGTCCACAAGGGACTCCTTTTGTGGAATTTCAGACAATTCCATTGAAAATGTGGCTAAAATCATCAAAATACCGAATACCGTTGGGCTACCGTTATATGGGTGCTATACGATATTGTGGACCTATACAGATAATTCTCTACCGAGGTATAAAGTACCCAAAAGGAACTACTTGTGTGGATTTTCAGACAATTCCATTGAAAAATGTGGCTAAAATCATCAAAATACCGAATATCGGGGGTACCGTTATATGGGGGCTATACGATATCGTGGACCGATATAGCCCATGTAGCGTGATTACAACAGACGGACAGACGGACGGGCAGGGCTAAATCGTCTTAGAATTTTACGCTGACCAAGAATATATATACTATGTTGGGTCTAAAATGATTATTTCGATGAGTTACAAACGGAATGACGAACTTAATATACTCCCATACTTTTTTTGGTGGAGGGTATAAAAAAGCAGTAAGTTCGGCCGGGCCGAACTTTAAATACCCTCCACCATTTCGAACGAATTTGAAAATTTTCGAATAAGATAACATTCGCCAAAAATTTTGTTAACATTTTAAAAATACCGAATATAGCCGTTATATTAAGGCCTGCACGACGTGTCACAAGCCATTACCATATTCAAATTCGAAACTTGAAATAAACGGTGAATAATGTAGCCAAAATCATAAAAATACCGTACATAGCAAGGTACCGTTATATAGGAGCTATACGAAGACCTCGACCTGCATAGACAATTTTCTGTCACAGGCTGTAGCTTCCATTACGAACTACAAATACGACATCTCAAACAATTCCGGTGGGTATTGTACTTAAAATCGTCAACATACCGAAAATACGGAGGTATTAGGTATGGGGGATATGCACAGAAAATTTTCTGTCTTTGGGTGTAGAATCCATTTCGAACTTCAAATACCAAATTTGAAATAAACAAGTGTGCAAAACTTTAGCCTTCTATCTCAATTCATTCGAAAGATAGCGTGATTACAACAGACAGACGGACGGACAGACGGACATCGCTAAATCGATTTAGAAGTTTACGCTGATCAAGAATATATACTTTATTGGATCTGATATGAGTATTTCGAGGAGTTACAAACGGAATGACAAAGTTAATATACCCTCCATAGTATGGTGGAGGGTATAAGAATAACAACAAATGGCTCTCAACCAGAAGACCTACATATTGGCCTACAGATATTTACAAAATACCAGATTTACTGGTCACTGTGATGAATTAAATTCAGACCACACGCCAATTCGTCTAAACGTTGCAACTAGTCCTTGCCATATCTCTACACAATCGGCTTATTTTCCTCGCAAAACAAATGTACATTTCTATCAAAATTTTATTGATAGTCTTTTAAATTTAATTATATCTCTCAAAACTGCAGACGAAATTGATGATGCTGTACAACATTTTACTAAAGTAATACATGAAGCAGATTCTTTGGCCGGGATATGATAAAATCGATGCTGAAGCGTTTCATTTCTGCTAAAAAGAGAATCGTTTTTCTTACAACATTATGCATTATGCCATTTAACATTACATTTCAATCGCAATGGAAACATGCTAATATTATCATGATTAGGCAAAATCATACAACACCTGAACAATGTCATAGGATTTTGAAATTAATAACGGAGTCATTAGAAAAAAAATTTACTGTCCGTCCCCATTTTTGGATGTCAACGAAGCTTTCGACCTAAACTAAACTTTCGACCTACTAAAATTATATTTGAGTGACTGAATCTTTTACGTTTTGGTAAATGTTGATGAATCCGATATAGGGAGAATGGTCTCTGGAGTGCCACAAGGCAGCGTATTGGGACCAATATTGTACTCACTATACACTTCTGACATACCCGTGAACTCAGATATTACATTAGCATTACAGCAATTTTGGCAGCTTATAAAGATTATGTCGAATCATCAGAGATGGTGCAGAGACAACTTAATAGACTTGAAGTATGGTTTTATAAATGGAACATATGAATCAATCCTGATATATCTACTCAAGTAAATCGGAAAGGAGATTGTCCTGAAGGATTGGACCGATATTGTCCGTTTTTGCACCTGACCTACCACTGACGCAAATATTAGGATTTGCAAAGTTGGTGCAAAAAAATATGTATTTTTTTATTGAAAATTTCGACCTTTCGTGGGAGAGATACTAGAAGGAGTGGACCGATATATTCCATCTTAACACCATACCTTGGGTTAATATAAATAATGGAATGTGTTAAATTTGAAGACAACCGAACTCTTACATCACATTATTTTGAGAGTTGTAATTATTCAAAATGTTGACCCTTTGTGGGGGAGGTACCAGAAGAAGTGGGCCGATATTGTCCGTTGTCGCACCTGACCTAGCACTGACGCATATATTAGGATTTGCATAGCTGGAGCAAAATCAGATTATCTTTTCTATTTCTTTGCAAAAAAATGTATTTTTTGAAAATTTCAACCATTTGTGGGGGAAGTACCAGAAGGAGTCGACCGATATATTCCATCTGAACACCAGACCTTGGCCTAATATAAATATTGGGATGTGTGAAATTTGAAGACAATCGGACTCTTACATCACATTTTATGAGAGTTGTAATTATTTAAAATATTGACACTTTGTGGGGGAGGTACCAGAAGAAGTGGACCGAAATTGTCCGTTTCGCACCTGACCTAGCACTGACGTTAATATTAGGATGTGCAAAGTTGGAGCAAAATCGGATTATCCTTTCACTTTCTGTTAAAAAAAATATATTTTTTGAAAATTTCGACCTTTTGTGGGGGAGGTACCAAATATTGCGATGTACCAAGTTTGGACCAAATCGGATATTCCCTTCGAGAGTTATCGTGCGCACCAGCCAGACAGACAGACGGACGGACATCGCTAGATCGACTCCAAATATTTTGAAACGGGGTTGGTCTAAAGAGACCTAGGGTCTAAAACCGTTATTTCGACTAGGCACGTTTTGACCGTATCAAATGATATATACCCTCTGTAGCCATATGGCTGCGGGTATAACCAGAAAAGTGTACTGGCTAATTGGCCCTAGATCAGAACTCAGCCTTCAAAATAAAGTTTTGCTTTATAATGTGGCGTTTCCACTGCACTTGATTCGCTCTCCATTCGTTGTTTGACCCTTAACTATGAAAAAACTACCTAATTCTTCACACAAAATTTCCTGAGCGAACACTCATATTTGAACGTTGTTCAAATCAAATCACTCTCAGAACAACAAAAAATATGTCCCATCCCTAACAAATGAGAGAATTTATCGAAAAAATAAATTATGACATTTAAAAATTATAAAAAGAAAAATTTAATGAAATTTTAAAAATTTTTGGGAAGACTGAAAATTATGAATGAAACTACAATGTTGAATGGAGTATGTACATTCAAACGAAAGTAAATTTTGTTTTCTCTCTCATTCGAGGTACGCATTTGGTCCACAAGTTAAAATTTCTACAGAAAACTGCCAACAAAATAATCAATATTTTCAAAATGTTTCTATCGGCAGAAAAAATGTTTGACAAGTGTCTCTCCAGCAGAATTTAAAAATGGAAAAACACAAAAATACGTTCAAAATGTCAACATTTACACAAAAAGCTGAAAAGGTGAATGAAAATTGTAAAATTAATGATATAATAAATCTTTGGGAGAAAAACAATAATTTCTTATATTCATATTAGTGAGAATTTCATGTATTTTCGTATACATTCCCTTTAAAATCAACAAACAATTTTTTTGAAAAAAGGAATTATTTTACTATGAATTACGAATCGTGCCGTATGAACGGGTTAATTCGTGTACCTAATTCTGAGAGCGAACAACGTTGTTCGGTTTCCAATGGAAACATGCTATAAAACTATTCTGAAACCAGTTTGTTCTTATACGTAATCATATTTCAACAATCTTTACAAATTTGAATAATTTTTCATTCAAAAATTTCAATCTTAATATTGGTTTGACAGTTCATTCTTCCAGGAGCTCCGTTGATGCACTCTACAATGCTGTTACTGCATGCATGGTATCTGAATACGGGTAGATGCGTCAGCACTTGTGAACATTTATATATAAAATATATAAAAGAATGACTTAAAAATACTATTTTCTCATACGTTGCGTTCAAAGGCTGTTATGATTGCTTTTCCGAGCAAGTTTGATTAAATGCAAATGCGAATTTTAAAATTGTGTTGATAGTTTATTGTACAAGCAGCTGTGTTAATGCGGCTAGCTGTTTTATTTTGCGTGCGTGTGGGCAACTGTTATGATTGCTTTTCCGAGCAAGTTTGATTAAATGCAAATGCGAATTTTAAAATTGTGTTGATAGTTTATTGTACAAGCAGCTGTGTTAATGCGGATAGCTGTTTTATTTTGCGTGCGTGTGGGCAACTTTTTTCTTGTAAGACTTTTTCGAAAATATTTAGAAATTCAGTTAGAGAATAACAAAACTTAAAAATGAAAAAAGTTGGCCACACACATGCCAAATACTACAGCTAGCCGCATTAAAACACCTGCTTGTACAACCGACTTCTTGATCGACCTCCGATAGTGGAAGCTATGAAAATTTGGAAAATTTTTGAACAGGAACCACCTACAAGTGGAACCAAAAAAAAAACGACAATAAACAGAAAGGCAAAACAATAAAAGCACTGCAAAGTCATAGACTTTGGGATAAACAAACAACAAACCAAAACAAACATAGATTTGGTATTATTTTATACACTATTATACAAAGCATTATTTGAAACATAATATTATGACAATTTATTTTTAATAGTGGTTTCTATTATAGGTACTACTTCTATTGTAACTTACACCCCTGTTACTGAACTCGATTATGGCACGCTACTTTGTTCTGCGACAAACAAAATAGGAAGACAGAGGATACCATGTGTGTTTCACATTATAGCAGCAGGTACGTACAATATGCATACAATATAAGCAAGTAAAAAACAAGTAAAACCCAGATCCTCCACCATTTGGAATTACAACAAAATTCCCTCGAAAAATACCGCTTAAATAAAAACGTTATATGGGGCTATATGAAGACGTACTCCTGCATAAGTAAATATTTGTTATAGGCTGTTGTTTACTTTAGAATCGCATTAAGTATTGCTTTTAATTGGGAAATATATCCGTAATTATTCGTTAAAATGTACATGGGTAATAAACCACACCCACCTGTGCTAGCGCCTTTGACATTTTAACGAGCAATTAGTTGTACTAGTATAACGCAGTCATTCAGACAGACAAACCCCGCAAGATCGTTTGGAAGCACATATCGTTGTGCATAGAAAGACATTTTGTTGCCACAGGTTACCATCAAACCAAACTACGAATAAATAGTTAATTTATATTAAGAACAACTCTTGTGTCAAACGTCATAATTTTTCAATATTTATACCCTACACCACAAGGTGGTCAGGGTATTATGACTTTGTGCATTTGTTTGTAACAGGCAAAAGGAAACGAGATAGACCCATTGTTCCTTTTGATGATCTGCATAGAATCACATTCTGAGTCGATTTATGCATGTCCGTCTGTCTGTCCATGTATTTTTGTAAACAGAGTACAGGTCGCATTTATTGCCCGATCCAGATGAAAATTTGCATAGATCATTTGCTTGGCCCAAGGACGAACCCTATTGAAACTGGAGATAATCGGTCAAAATTTAGATATAGCTCCCATATATATCTTCGTCCGATTTGCCTTTTATTGTGCACCAAACGTGTAATATGGGCCCGAATAGTATGGAATTTTGCATATACATCCAAATTAGGCCTCAAAATAAGTATGCCAAATTTGATAGAAATCGGTTCAACAACAATATTTGGGGAAATATTTCAAATATAGCTCAGAAATGTCTTTGCCAAATTTTATCGAGATCGGTTCAGATTTGGATATAGCTCCCATATATAATTTCGTCCGATTTACCTTTTATTGTGCACCAAACGTCTAATATTTGTCCAAATGGGATGGGATTTGGCACTTACGAACGAAGCTAGTAGAGTCTAGAAGCTAGTATGTCAAATTTGGTGAAGATCGGTTCAGATATAGGTATAGCTCCCATATATATTTTTCATCCGATTTGTTATATTTGTTACCCACAGCCGTAATATGCACTCCGCAACAACGATATTCAGGGAAATATATCAAATACAGCTCAGAAATATCTTTGCCAAATTTTATCGAGATCGGTTTAGATTTGGATATAGCTCAAATATATATCTTTATCTGATTTCAAATTAATTTTGCACCAAATGGGCAATAAAAGTCCGAATTTAAAAGATACAAATCCTTCGTCATATTTAGTCCCTTGAACCTTAAATTATAATTATAATCATAGCGTGTATGATTGAATTCTCCCATAAAAACTTTTAATTGTTATGTGGAGCTCAACTAAATTAGCAAAGTGGTGTAGGGTATCATAAAGTCGGCCCCGCCCGACTTTAAGGCTTTCTTTACTGTTTTTTTTTTTAATTTTATTGAATGAAAGCAAAAAATGTAGGAAATAGCATCAAACAGATGTGTATCCGTAGATTTTGGTGGCAATTGTGCGCTGGAAATGGAGCGAGGAACCTCATTTTGTAACTATTCTTGGGGGACGCGTGCTGATTGCGATGGTGCTGAGTCCTGTTGGAATGCCCAAGGTCTGCCGCCAAAATGTTTGCGTGCCCAAGGCAATGTGCTCTTCAGAATATTTTCGCGATAATATTCGCCATTAATTCTGATGCTACGGTCGATTAATACGAGCGGAGGTCGGTTGTTATGGCGGCCCACACCATCACCATCGTCGGCGCTTGAGTTCTGGTGGCCAACCGAAGGTGCACGATAATTTTGTTTGTTTACAAACAGCTGAACAATGAATCTCTTTTCATCACAGAAAACCAAATTCGTCAGTTCACCATTTTCGGCCAAGTGAAGCAGCTTTTTAGCTTTTTATAGCCTCCACCATAGTATGGAGGGTATATTAAAATTGTCATTCAGTTTGTAACACCTCGTAATATACATTTTATACCCCACAAAGTATATGTATTCTTAATCAGCATAAAATTCTACGTCGGTTTATCAATGTCCGTCCGTCTGTTCGTCTGTGGAAATCACTCTAGCTTCCGAACGAAATGAAGTAAGTTAATAGGAATTTACTCAAATGCGTATTATGTCTACAGGACTTTGGTATTGAAAATGGGCCACGTCTTCGTATACCCCCATCTATCGGTACCCTCCGATATTCGGTATTTTGATGATTTTAGCGACATTATTTAACGGAATCGGAATTTGGTATTTGAAGTTCGTAATAAATACTACAGCCTAAGACAGAAAATGAGCCATGTGGGTCCACGTCTGCGTATAGCCCCCATATAACGGTACGCCCGATATTCGGTATTTGGATGATTTAGCGACATTGTTTACCGGAATTGTTTCAAATTTGGTATCTGAAGTTCGTAATGGATACTACAGCCTCAGACAGGAAATGGGCCATGCAGATCCACGTCTTCGTATAGCCCCCATATAACGGTACCCCCGATATTCGTTATTTGGATGATGTTAGCGACATTATTTACCGGAATTGTTTTAAATTTAGTATTTGAAGTTCGAAATGGATACTACAGCCTCAGACAGGAAATGGGCCATGCAGATCCACGTCTTCGTATAACCCCATATAACGGTACCCCCGATATTCTGTATTTTGATGATTTTAGCGACATTATTAACCGGCATTGTTTCAAATTTGATGTTTGAAGTTCGTAATGGATATCTGCCAAAGCAGCACACCCGTTTTGTTATAGGTCTTATACTACCATCACTAGGTACTCGTCATTTTGCACGCTCTCCCACAATTTTCGACCGAATGAGCTAATTGTAAAATAGTGGTTTACCGACATAGCCAAAAATGCCTTCAGCGAACTTTTCCAAGGGCCCAAACAAAATTAGGCTTTTTCAAGAAAACCTTCTATCATATCAATGCTTGTAGATTTTAAGTATTTTGATGCTTTGATATTATTTTTCAATGAAGTTAGTATTTTCATATTTCTGGTTCTTAGGGAATATAAAACACTACTTGTTATGGCCCTCAAATAGTGGTATACCTTGTAATATCAGGCACAGCACTAATATCAATTTCCAACCAAATGAGTAGCAATTTAGTTTCTTCTTGTATGAAAATTTGCCATGCAAAAGTAGAAGGCCACGTTTTTATACCCTCCACCTTGAAAAGGAGTTTATACTTACTTTGTCATTCCATTTGTAACATCTCTAAATATTCGTCGTAGACCCCATAAAGTATATATATTCACGATCAGCATAAAATTCTAAGTCGATGTATCCGCCTGTCTATCGGTTCATCTGTCTGTTGAAATCACGATATAGCACACATTATTAGACGCAGAGCTTCAAAATTTAGCAGAACAATTTGTATTGTGTCTAAGATGGTTGGTATTGAAAAATTTTGGTATAGCCGCCATATAACGGTACCTCCCGATAATAGGTCGTAATGGATTCTAGCTCCGGTGGCGAAATTTTTTTCGTTTATTTCTACGCCTCTTACACCCTCCCCTGCTGACCGAGGGGCACCACCCTATACGTAGAGTGTGCGCAGAAAAGAATTTCCGGACTAAGGCGAGTAAGCAATGATTTCACATCGGCTGCAGAAACTACGTCAGCTACTAAATAAATAACGAGAGCAGTTATATATATTACGTTTGCAGGACTTTTGTTATTGAAAATGGGCTATGTAGGTTCACGTCTTCATATAGCCCCCATATAACGGTACCCAACGATATTCGGTATTTTGATGATTTTAGCGACATTATTTAGCGGAATTGTTTCAAATTTCGCATTTCAAGCTCGCAACGAATACTAAATCCTATCACAGAAAATTGTTTCTGCAGATCCACGTTTTATAATCCCCATGGTACCTCCCTATATTCGGTATTTTGATGATTTTAGCTGCATTATAAACAGAAAAGTTTCGCTTTTGAATATTGCAATAGCTTATGACAAAAGTTGCCTATGCAGGCACGTCGTCGGATAGACCCTAATATACGGCTACATTCGTAATTTTTAAGATTTTAAGAGAATTTTTAACGGATTTCTTTTTTTTAAATTGTCATGTTTGTTCCAAATGGTGGAGGGTATTCAAAGTTCGGCCCGCCCGAACTTACAGCATTCTAACTTGTTATTATTCTTTTTATACCCTCCACCATACTATGGAGGGTATATTAATTTTGTCATTCCGTTTGTAACTCCTCGAAATACTCATTTCAGACCCAACAAAGTATATATATTTTTGATCAGTGTTAAATTCTAAGACGATTTAGCCATGTCCGTCTGTCTGTCTGTGTGTCTGTCTGTCTGCACACATGTATATTTTGCCAGTAGGCAGGTTAAGTTCGTAAATGGGCCATGTAAGTCCACGTCTTCGTGTAGCCCCCATATAACGGTACCCCCCGATATTCGGTATTTTGATGCTTTTAGCGACATTATTTACCGGGATTGTTTCAAATTTCGCATGTGAAGTTCGTAATGGATACTTCAGTCCATGCCAGAAAATTGTCTGTTCAGGTCCACGTCTTCGTATAGCCCCCATATAACGGTACCCCCTATATTCGGTATTTTGATGATTTTAGCTACATTATAGACGGATTTTTCTTCAAGTTTCGCATTTAAATATTGTAATAACTTATGACAAATTTGCGTATGCAGGTCCAAGTCGTCGTATAAGCATTCGGTATTTTTAAGATTTTAACAGAATTTTTAACGGATTTTATTTTTTGGAAATTGCCAAATTTGTACCAAATGGTGGAGGGTATTAAAAGTTCGGCCCGGCCGAACTTACATCTTTTTTACTTGTTGTTAATTCATTTCCCTACAGCTAACTTCATTAAGGGCTACATACTAATTTAATACAAATAA